TGAGCACGAGCATTTTGCCACAGCGTACACCCTCATAGGGTTCGGCCAATGAAGGAAAGAGCAGCACTTTACCTTTCTCAGGTAGAGACTTCACAGCTCTGATAACCCAGCCTGCCAGCACCCCGAGATGCCTTGGCAGCCACATTTGCGGTTGGCTCCTGCCTCCTCCACTGCCCCAGTCTCTGGATGCTCCAACAGCTGCTGGTTGAGGGCAGCGCCCATTGCAGCACCCACACTCACACTCTCCTATGCAAATTGGGCATTTTCCTAAAAGCACGGCACCCGCTCTCCTCAGGAGCCTCCTTTGCATGCTGCTTTCCATGACACCCCCAACTCCTCCAAGCCAGAGGGGACTCACCAGCTGTGCCCTCTGGGTGCCTGGACTACAGCCCCAAGGCCAGGAAGCAGGAGGCAAGTGTACATCCCACAGTGGTGACCATGGCTGAGTTTGCCACCATGCTCCAAAATGTGTGTGCTATTCTGCTTTTCATTTATTTAGTCATGACCTGGGAGTTATAGGGGAGAGATGGAGAAGACACTAAGTACTGATAAAGGGACCACCGAAGACCCCTACTGAAGTTCAATAGAACCATGGGCCCCCAAGAGTGCACCGCCTAATGTCCAGAACCTGTGAATATGTTACCTCCCATGGCAAAAGGGGCTTTGCAGATGTGATTAAGTTATGGATTTTGAGAAGAGGAAACATCCTGGATTAGTCAGATGGGCCCCACACGTCCTTATAAGGGAGAGGTAGAGCCGGCCGCGGTGGCTCATGGCTGTAATCCTAGCCCTTTGGGAGGCTGGGGTGGGAGGATCACCCAAGGTCAGGTGTTCCAGACCAGCCTGGCCAACATGGTGAAACCCTGTCTCTACCAAAAATCAATAATTAACTGGGCATGGTGGCACATGCCTGAAATCCCAGCTACTTGGGAGGCTGAGGCAGGAGAATCACTTGAACCCAGTGAGCGGAGATCATGCCACTGCACTCCAACCTGGGCAACAGAGTGACTGCATCTCCAAAAAACAGAGAGAGATGTAGGAGAGAGAGAGTCAGAGAAGGAGCTGTGACGAGGGAAGCAGACGTTGGAGGAATGCGATGTTACAAGCCAGGGAATGTGGGTGTCCTCTACACAGTAGAGAAGACAAGGAAATGGATTATCTTCTAGAACTTCCAGAAGGAACAGCCGGCCCACCATTTGATGTTAGCTGGCCAAGGTCCGTTATAGACTTCTGACCTCAGAACTACAAAAGAATAAATAATTCGTGTTGCTTTAAGCCACTGTATTTGTGGACATTTGCCATAAATACAGTAGAAATTAGCCACACCCAGCTAATTTTTTTCTTTCTTCTTCTTCTTTTTTTTTTTTTTTTTGTATTTTTAATAGGGACAGGGTTTCACCATGTTGGTCAAGCTGGTCTCAAACTCATGACCTCAAATGATCCGCCCACCTCAGCCTCTTGAAGTGCTGGGATTACAGGCATGAACCACCACACCTGGCTGGCTTCTTGCTAAGAGAAAAACTTGACCATTGAGTGGAAGAAGCAAGGAGCGAGTGGGTAGGGCCCGGATGTGGCTTTGGATGGGCAGTGAGGTAGGACGATGTTCCAGAAGAGCATCAGCACGGGAGAAGGGCAGTGAGGAACGACAATGTTCCAGGAGAGCATCAGCACGGGGGAAGGGCAGTGTCCGAAAGCCCAAGGGTGTCCCTGTGTCCAACAGCTTGGGCCACAGTAATGAAACATACCACAGACAACAAACATTTATTTCTCACAGTTCAGAAGGCTGGAAGTCTGAGATGAGGGTACCCAAGGCTGGGTTCTGCCTTCTCACTGTGTCCTCAAGGTGCAGAGGTCCAGGGTGCAGGGTCCCTTCTGTAAGGGCGCCAATCCCATTCACGAGGGCTCCACCCTCATGGACTAATTATCTCCCAAATGCCCCACCTCCTAATGCCATCGCGTTGGGGCTAGGACTTCAACAGATGAATTTGGGAGGGGGCACGAACATTCAGTCCATAGCTCCCCAGGCAATCTTGCATGGCTTCTGCGCCACTGACAGTGAGGCTTGGGGGCACCTGCCCCAGCCCCTCCATCCTTCAGAAGCAGAGCTTCCTAACATTCCTCACATCCATCACGGAGACGATGGCATTGATGTACAACACTGGGCCACAGAGAGGGAACCAGGAGACGTCCACAGGAGCCTGGTGAAAAAAAAAATTACAATTTATTTATCTTATATAATTATGATAAGAAAAAATGAAATATAAAGTATTAGGAAAGATTTGTGTAAAACATCCAAATGAAACCTCCTAAACTCAAAATGAGAAATGAGCTTGATTTGGTAAGCACAACTTTTTAATATCAGATTTTTTTTTTTTGCTTGAAATGACCACAAGCAATTCCTATTCAAGGCTCTTTATTTTATTTCTTTATTTATATTTTTGAGACCGAGTCTCACTCTTTCACCCAGGCTGGAGTGCGGTGGATAGCACCGCTCCCTTCTCCAGGATCTGAGGTCTGTGGGCAGCATCAAGGTCTGCCTTGCGGTGGGACCGCTTGGGTTTCAGAGCAGGGTCCCTGTTGTTTCCTGACAGGTGATCTGAAGCATAGCTGGGTGGTAACACGGAGCCGTTCAGGGACTTTGTTTCCAACCGGGGTGCATCTAATCTTGTCTTCCTGAGGATGATGACCACTCGGGGCTCCTTGACGTCCTGAGGCCGTATGCAACGAATGATTTCATCAGCAGCATACCCACTGAGCACAGCCGTGCTGCCTCTGTGCACCAGCAGTGGATGGCGCCATTGCACTCCAGCCTGGGTGAGCTGACTCACTGCAACCTCCACCTCCCGGGTTCAAGTGATTCTCCTGCCTCAGCCTCTTGAGTAGCTGGGATTACAGGCACCCAATGCCATGCCTGGCTAATTTTTGTATTTTTAATAGAGACAGGGTTTGGCCATGTTGGCCAGGCTGGTCTCAAACTCCTGACCTTAGGTGATCCACCTGCCTCAGTCTCCCAAAGTGCTCGGATTACAGGTGTGAGCAACCGCACCCAGCCATTTTTGTATTTTTAGTAAAGACAGGGTTTTACCATGTTGGCCAGGGTGGTCTGGAACTCCTGATCTCAAGTGATCCGCCCATCTCAGCGTCCCAAAGTGCTAGGATTACAGGCGTGAGCCACTGTACATAGCTCATGAAGGCTCTTTAATGATGATTTCTTCAAATGTTGGATAAACAACACCTACAAAAAGACAGCCCAAGTAGGTGATAGTTTTGGTTTGTTTGTTTGTTTTTGTTTTTTGAGACAAAGAAAAAATACAAAAACTAGCTGGGCATTGTGGTGCATACCTATAGTCCCAGCTGCTCGGGAGCCTGAACTGGCAGGATGGCTTAATTCTGGGAGGCAGAGGTTGCAGTGAGCTGAGTTGATGCCACTGCACAGCACGCTGGGTGACAGAGTGAGACCCTGTCCCAAAGAAAAGAATTAACTCTCAATATTTACTCTCAATGACAACTGTAACTTTTTTTTTTTCAGGCGTGGTGACAGGGTCTTTCTTTGTTGCCCAGGCTGGTCTTAAACTCCTGGGCTCAAGCGATCCTCCCTCCTCAGCCTCCCAAAGTGTTGGGATTACAGGTGTGACCCCAGCCTGTAACCAAAATTCTTATGATAATGAGAATAATTGATTGAGAATCTAATCAAACTGTCTTATACTGAGTATTTATTTTTATTTTTATTATGATCATTATTTAGAGACAAGGTCTTGCTCTGTCAGCCTGGCTGGAATGCAGTGTTGTGATCATGGCTCACTGCAGCCTCAAACTCCTGGTTTCAAGTGATCCTCCCACCTTGGCCTCTGAAAACCACTGCGATTACAGATGTGAGCCACTGGGCCCGGCCTCAAGTATTTTAAAATAACACTGCACTTAGAATTACCAGAATGTGTATATGTGGTTAGAGCAGGCAGCATGGGTGCCCCTAGAAAGGCATGTTATCTACAAACAGGGAGCCTTGTGCAATATACAAGACATTTCCAGGTGGCCCCCTGAAACCATCCCTCCTGGTTTCCTGGACCACCCCAGGCCCACCCCAACTCTAGCATCGGCTCACACCTGCTGTCGGCCATGCATGCAAACACTGTGGGAGATGTGCAGGGTAAGTCACCTCCGTCACTGGACCTCCCTCATCCTGCCACCCACCTATGGCATTCCCTGGGGAGTCTCTGCAAGGTCTTCCAAAAGCTACCAGCCTGGGGGCTCCAATCGCCCCAGGCCCAGCCTGACAGCAAGGGGAGCAATATCCTTCCCCACTTTATCTTATTGGCGACAATCCAGCATCTCCACCCAGACCAACAGAAAAGGAGCCTGATTCATCCAGAAGAGAAAGGTCAAAAAACATTTCTTGACCCCTCCTCCACCCCCCACACCCACCCCTGTGAGAGGGCTAGCCTGGGTTCCAGTCCCACTCCTCCACCTACAAGCTGGGTAACTCTCCCTTGATGATCTCTCCGAGCTGCAGTCCCCACCTCTGTAAAACGGGGACGGTAGTATCTGTCTCATGGGATTGTACGAAGGTTATGCAGGCAATGCATGTAAGTGGCTGGCACAGGGCTCCACCCAGGGCAAGCCTGAGTCAATGCTGGTTCTGGTCTGTGATGCAGAGACCCTCAGACACAAAGACCACTAACACAGTCACACACACAAAGATACATAGACACAGAGGCCCAAAGCCACAGTGAGCTCATGTGTGGGCACACACATGGGAGGCACAGATCTGTCGGCCCCATGGAGATGCCCTAGCCCAGTCCCAGACCCCACCCCTTTACCCAGACAGGAGCCATCCAGCTGCAGCTGGATCTCACCTGCCCTTGGGAGAGCCTTGGGCATCAGAGGGAGCACGTTCAGCTCCTCCTCTTTGATGTGTCTGTGGAGGACGGCTGGCCAGGTTCCTGCAGGCACTCTGGGGGCCCAGACTCCAGGTATGAAACCCCATCATCCCACCCCTTTAATTCATTTCACCCCCTTGCTGTCAGTGTGCAGACACCTTTATTTTTGGACTGGGGGAGTAGAGGTGGAGCTAGGAAAGGGTTGCCATCCACAGCCCACAAACACACAGGCACACCCACAGAGACACACAGAGGCTGACACAAGGACACCTGCAGCACTCACAGGCCGCAGCTCCCACCCAGGAAACCCGTCCAATCCAAGACCTCTGCCTGCAAATCCAGGATATTCCATTCCCTGCCATGTCCACATTAGCACCATCCCCCCCCACCACCACTGCCATCCCCTCTGTGACCAGTAGCCCCACGACCACCAGTAGCCACCGCCACCACAGCACACCACCGTGGGTGAACTGATGGAGGAGCCCTCTGGGACTCTGATACAGCATGGAGGAGACCCCCAGTGGGAAGGGCAGAAGGAGGGCGACGAGCTTCCTAGGAGCCCAGAGGACAAGGTCCAGGAGCTCAGGCCTCTGCAGCAGCCGTGGACTCCAAACTCCAGCCCTGCTGGAGAGCGTTTTCCCTGCCTGTGTCTGAGCCTGCCCTCTCCCGCCTCTCCCTCCCTCCCACACCCACGGAAAGCTGGTCCCTAGCAGGAGCTAGTGCTGGAGGTGGAGGCGGCTGCAGAGAGAGAAGCCTAGGAGGGAGGGGCACAGCCCTGGCTGAACCCACAGGATTGGCCAATCTGCACCCTCTCGGCCAGCACCTCACTAAAGATTCCTCAAAGCGACAGTGACCTTACCCTCTGCTCTGAGCTCTGCTGGTCCCAGCCAGGAGAGCCCGAGTCATGAGGTGGGCACCCAGTGGGCAGGGTGGGCCGCAGGGGCCTTCTTGGAGGCAGCGGTGAGTTGGGAAGGGGCGGCTGGGCCCCGCAGGGGGCACGATGGACAAGTTCCGGATGATCTTCCAGTTCCTGCAGTCCAACCAGGAGTCCTTCATGAACGGCATCTGTGGCATCATGGCCCTGGCCAGCGCCCAGATGTACTCAGCCTTCGACTTCAACTGCCCCTGCCTGCCAGGCTACAACGCGGCTTACAGCATGGGCATCCTGCTGGCACCACCCCTGGTGCTCTTCTTGCTGGGCCTGGTCATGAACAACAACGTGTCCATGCTGGCGGAAGAGTGGAAGCGGCCACCGGGTCACCGGGCCAAGGACCCCGCCGTGTTGCGCTACATGTTCTGCTCCATGGCCCAGCGTGCCCTCATCGCACCCGTCGTCTGGGTGGCCGTCACACTACTCGACGGCAAATGCTTCCTCTGCGCCTTCTGCACTGCCGTGCCTGTGACCGCACTGGGCAATGGCAGCCTGGTGCCTGGCCTGCCTGCCCCTGAGCTCGCCCGCCTGCTGGCCCGGGTGCCCTGCCCTGAGATCTACGATGGTGACTGGCTGCTGGCCCGAGAGGTGGCTGTGCGCTACCTGCGCTGCATCTCCCAGGTGAGGGGCCACATGGCCTCAGGCTGGGTCTTCCTGGCAGATCAAGTTCCCTCTAGGAGGACCCTATGTCCCCACCTCTCAAAATGGGGCCTCTGCTCAAGTTGAGCTCTGAGGGGTGGGGGGCATCTTCCCAACTGAGGCTGAAGGCAGAGCCACGCATCTGCCCTCAGCCCAGGGCCATCTGGAGAACATGCTTCGGCTCCCTCCATCCAGAGGCTTCTGGTGAGTGGGCCTGACCCCTGTCCTGAGGTCTCCAGAGTGGACCCACATCCCATCCGGATCTCTGAGCTTGGAAACTGGAGGAATTTGCATCCTTTCTCTCTTCCAGGCCTCGGCAGTGGTGAGGCTAGTGGGTGGCTAGGCCATTTGGGTACATTTCCCTGGCAAATGGCCCCATCTGGTGCTTCCCTGGTGGGGACTGGGAGCTGAGGACGGGGGTGTCCTGGAAGGGGGCACATGGGTGAGACAGATGCCTTGTTGGGATGTGACGGAAAGGCAGGTTGGAAGGCCCACTGACAGGGCAGCCAGAGGGAGAGTCCTCCCAGCCCTGTTCCCACATCCTCTGCCCCTCGGTGCTCACCGGTCCAAGCTTCTAGGGCCTTTCCACCACCATCAGTGCTGTGCGGGGAGGACCGCCCAGGCAGCCTGCCCTCGCAGCTGGCAGACCAGGTGCTGTCAGGGAGAGGGGCTAGAGCCAGCCTACCTTGCAAGGGCTGGAGAAACGTGCACACTCTGCCCTGGCAAGTCCAGGCACCCCTGGCTTCCCGCTCTAGCAGGGGCGTCTCTCCTGGGAGGCCGCCATCACCACCCAGATAGCCCTGGTGAATGTCACACTCTGAACATTCAGACTGAACTCTGCTTCCCTCTCCTCCCAACCTGTGCCTGCCTCCTCTCCTGTGGACACTCATCCCGTCATCCCCGGCCTTAGGGCTTGACCAGCTGTCCCTCCACCTGACCTTTAAGCTGCCGCTTCATAAGCTGAGTGAACTCCGGAGGTATATACATGTTTCTAGAATTTAGATTCTAGATTCAACTTTAGAATTTGTTGGCATCTTATACAAACCAGAATGGGCCGGGTAAGGTGTGGCTCATGTCTGTAATCCCAGCACTTTGGGAGGCCAAAGCAGGAAGATCGCTGGAGCCCAGGACTTCAAGGCCAGCCTGGGGAATATAGTGAGACCCTTTGGTCAAAAAAAAAAAAAATTAGCCGGGCTTGGTGGCACATGCCTGTAGTCCCACCTACTCAGGAAGCTGAAGTGGGAGGATTGCTTGAGCCTGGGAGGTTGAGGCTGCAGTGAGCTGTAATTACACCACTGCAGCCTGGGTAACAGAGCAAGACCTGCCTCAAAAAAAAAAAGTAAATAATAAAAATCGGAATTTTTCACATAAAAATCAGATTTCCAAGCTGGAAATCCAGAAGATTCAGTCCCCACGTGTACTCCTGGAGCAGCCTGGGGTGCCCATGGCCTGTGCACACGCTCAGCAGCTCCCCACCCCGTCTGCTCTGTCATGACCTGCCCGGCCCCATGCTTAGCATCTGAGTTTTCCTTCAGCCCCAGTCTTGATCTGCCCAAATATACCTCTGTGTGGCTGGGGCCTAACCCTGAAGTGGGGGCCAGGGGAGCATCCTGCCCGTGCCCTACAGTGAGCTGACAGAGCAGGGCTAGAACCAGGTGCAGGGTGCTCTTCCGCAGAGCTCGAGTTCTTGCCTGATTCACCTCCATGACCCCTGAAGGCTCAGCTCAGAATCGACACAAAGGAGGCGCTCGCTTGGCACTGGTCACAATACCATGAGTCAAAGGAGAGGTTCAGGACTCAGAGGAAAATGGGCCACTATGGCCTGGGGAGATCAAGGAAGGCTTCCTGAAAGAAGAGACACAGTAAGTAGGTAAGTGAGGGCCTACTGGCTCAACCTAATGGTTAATAGTCACTGAACACTGGGTGCCAGGCACAGTGCTAAGCTTATCACATTCAGTCCGCACAGCAACACTGAGATAGTTGCTACCACCAGCTGCGTTTTATAGGTGTGGAAACCGAGGCACAGAGAACTTGAGTGCTTTGCTCCCGAGCAACTAGTAATTAGTGGAGACAGCATTCAAACCCAAGCAGCCCAAATCCAGGGTCTGCCACTTAACTCCTGTGCTCGGGGTGCTCCATGTGAGCTTTCCATGAGGTGCACCTGTTTCCATTATTTCAATTTCTATGCCCATTTTACAGATGAGGAAATAAAGGCCAAGCGGCAAGCTCACTTGCCCAATTTAGGCTCTTTGCCCTAGAGGCGCTGGCATAGAGAGTGCTTTGGGAGTCAGGCCGGGTGCGGTGGCTCATGCCTATAATCCCAGCACTTTGGGAGGTCGAGGTGGGTGGATCACCTGAGGTCGGGTGTTCAAGACCAGCCTGATCAACACAGAGAAACCCCATCTCTACTAATAATACAAAATTAGCCGGGCGTGGTGGTGCATGCCTATAATCCCAGCTACTCAGGAGGCTTAGCAAAAGAATCACTTGAACCCGGGAGGCAGAGGTTGCGGTGAGCCAAGATGTGCCTTTGCACTCCAGACTGAGCAACAAGAGCAAAATTCCGTCTCAAACAAAAAAGAAAGAGAGTGCTTTGGGAGTCTGAACAGGCTCCGAGGCCCGAGGCCAGTGCCCAGCGACTTTCTGTTGTCTCCCCACAGGCACTGGGCTGGTCCTTCGTGCTGCTGACCACACTGCTGGCATTCGTGGTGCGCTCCGTGCGGCCCTGCTTCACACAGGCCGCCTTCCTCAAGAGCAAGTACTGGTCCCATTACATTGACATCGAGCGAAAGCTCTTCGATGAGACATGTACGGAGCATGCCAAGGCCTTCGCCAAGGTCTGTATCCAGCAGTTCTTCGAGGCCATGAACCATGACCTGGAGCTGGGTCACGCCCACGGGGCACTGGCCACGGCCCCTGCTTCCAAGGCTGCCCCCATTCCCCCTGACAGTGGGGAGGAGGAAAGGGAGAAGCTGCGTGGCATCACGGATCAAGGCACCATGAACAGGCTGCTCACAAGCTGGCACAAATGCAAACCGCCACTGCGGCTGGGCCGGGAGGAGCCGCTGATGGGCAACGGCTGGGCTGGGGGCGGGCCCCGGCCTCTGCGCAAGGAGGTGGCCACCTACTTCAGCAAAGTGTGAGGCACGGCCAGCTGAAGAGGCAGGAATGGGGGTCTGAGCCCACGGCCCTTCCGATCCCCAAACCAGGTGGAAAAATGAAGGCTTTCAGTGCTGGGCACTAGCCCACACTCCCTGGCACACGCCTGCCCATAGCAGGCAGGATATCTGGGACTGGAAGGGGATCTCACACCCTCAGCTATGACACTGCCCTGGATGGCCCTGGGGCAGTGGGCCCATGAGCAGTATTAGTCTAAAGGGATCAGAACTGTCATGGTGGACACAGGGACCGATGGCTCCACTCTGCCCAGCCCTTCCCAGGCTGATGTTCACTGTCTCCTCCCAGGTTCGACAGACATCCCTGCCCCAGGATCTACTTTCATCTGTGGCTTTTTAGGACCTCTCTTCCTTTCCGCTCAGGGCCTGGGGAGTGGGAAGCATCCAGGCATCTCATGAAGTGGGAGCCCTCTGATTTGGGCAAGCGTGTCCTAGGTGAGACTGAGTGGGCTGGGGCAGGCCCATAGGGACATGACACACAGCCCACTTGGCGTGACAAACCTGGGGTGACAGGCGATGAGATGCGATGTCAGAAGCTAGGTTCACATGGGAGAGGCCAGATTGTGTGTGGTCACCACAGGGTCACATGACAATTGTCCAGGTGGACTGTCTGTTTAGCACCAAGCACAAAAGTCCTCCCATAGAGGGGTCATTGAAGACTACCCTAATACTCCCTTCACATCCAGGTCTCAGGAGGAAATCAGACCACCCCTAAGGCTTGAGAAGTTAGACACAGAAGCTAAAGTCTCTCCATTTTTCTTTTCTTTTTTTTTTTTTTTTTTTTTTTTTTTTTTTTTTTTTTT